AGATTCCTCCCAGAGGACCTCAGGGCGCGGGGGGGGTCGTATGGGGGGATCGTATGGGGAGAGACGGTCCCTAAGATCTTTGGATGCAAAGCCATATCTAGATGTTCAACTGAAATTTTAAGTTACTGCAATGCTAAAAATTTGGGGGCCAAAGAAAAATTTCATAGGAGGTCGTTTCTTAATGAGTCCTTCATTTCCCCCACCCCATAGTTATGTTGTTGATGTGGAAGAATTTGAAATCAACAGATTTCCACATCCCTAGGATATAAGAGAGCCAGCATGGTGTAGCCATTTGAGTGTTGAATGATGACTCTGGAGATCAGGGTTCAATTCACTGCTTGAACATAAAAACCCACTAGGTGACCTTGGGCAAGTCACATTCTCTCAGCCTCTGAGAATGGCAATGGCAAACCCTCTCTGAAAAAACTTGCCATGAAAACGCTTAGGGTCACCATAAGTAAAAAATGACTTGAAGGCAGACAACAACAACAAAGTCTTATATACAGTATGTATGTTGTTGTTGTCTGCTTTCAAGTCATTTCTGACTTATGGTGACCCTAAAGTGAACCTATGATGGGATTTTCTTGTCAAGATTTGCTCAGATGGGGTTTGTCTTTGCCTTCCTTTGAAGCTGAGAATGATACTTTCCCAAGGTGACCCAGTCGGTTTCCATGGCCGATGGGGATTTGAACCCTGGTCTCAAGAGCCATAGTCCAACACTCAAACCACTACACCACACTGGCTCTCCTTATATACATTTACTCAGGCGTAAGCCAAATCAAATCTTATGGGGTACACTTTTGAGTTGACTTTTGTAGACTGTGCTGTACAGAAAATTGGCACTGTAAATGCTAAACGCCTGTACTGCAGCCACTCACTCATAGACCACAAGGTTGCGAGTTCAGTATTAGCCAAGGCTCAGGCTAGACTTAGGCCTGCATCCTTCTGAGGTTGCTAAAATGAGTACCCAACTGTTGGGGGGCAATGAGCTTACAGTTGTAAACTGCTTAGACATCCCATAGTGCGATATGAAGCAGTATATAAATGAAGCTGCTTTAAATACAAATGAACCACTTCTTTGATTTGTCTCTGTAAAGAGCATCATCATCTTGATCTTTTTTCCTGGCCTTCTCTATATCAGTCATTCATGGATGAACAAGCTTGTGTATAGATTCTTTTTGCATACCTGCATCAAAAACTTTCATATAATTACAGAATTATACCCTATGCATTTTGAATATGGTCCACACATTCATCTTCTGAAATGTTCATTCTTCCCAAAGGTATCAAAAGTAGATTGTGCACAAAATAATAAACTACCTTAATGAAGCTTTTGACCTTCTAAAAATCAAGATTCACCCACCTTTTCTAAAAGTACTATATTATACTGATTTCATCTCCACAAATCTCTCCCACAATTTAGTTCCTTATTGTGCATTCTCCCTCAAGGGTGCTTCCTTCAAATCAAAATCCAAGAATCATCTTTCATGACACATCCGCCAGCTTTTATCCCCCAGACATCAGAATAGTAACAGAAGGGTAAGGGCAGGAGTCTGCGCGATTCTATATGCATTCACATCTTATCTTTTCATGACCTTAACT